TGACTCCTGTGACCCTGTGGACAATAGAACAAAACACTACCTGGTCCTCCCCACAGTTGCTGCTATATTTAACCCGTTGTTGCAGCCACTGTGTTTATCCATTTCTGTGAGCGTCTTCCTCTTTTTCGTTGACTCTCTACAATTAGAACTGTAAAGGCCGGTTAACAGTGGGTGTGGGGCAGAAGACTGGAAGAATATATTTCTATGGAACAGACCTTATACAGGGGTGATTGAGAGTTTAGGCTCTTGTCTCATCACCTTAGAGAAAGCCTCCAGGCAACAAGCGGAACAGCCCCATCCCATACATAGAACTTCTAAGTAGCTGTGTAGTATGATTTCTCACTTTTAAATTGAAACAATCAAAATCACTAGATATTTGAGCAAAGCCTCTTAAATGAAAATCAGAGATCAAAACAAATAAAGTAGGGACAGGAGAGATAAAAAGTAAAGACATTCAGAAAAACAGACAATGCAGGAAGCAGAAGAAAATGGCTGAAAAATGATAATGTTCTCAGAGATAAGAGAAGCTATTTCATTTCTTGAGACAGGAATAAGATTACTAAAAAACATTCCAAAGTACTCTTAAAAATTTAAATATGACCACAGAAATGAAAAGCTGAAATCAAAAGCGCAAATAAAAATGAAGTTGATTTGAAATCTTTCAAAAGTAGAGTGCGAAAACATAGGGATGGGGAAATAGAAGAGAATAAATAAGAAAATTATACAACCAGTTTGAAAGACATAACATATGAATAATGGAGGTTTCAAAAAATTGGAACAGAGAAGACAGAGGGGAAGAAACAGTCAAAGAAGTATTTCAAGAAGTATCCCTGACTGGATAGAGGATGCATTTCTGAGAGTGAAAGGGCTTAACGAGGTCTTCACACAACGGATGGAAATCAATCTACACCAAGACCTATTCTAGTGAAATTCCAGAAAATGGAGGGTGGATGGAGAACCCAGATGCCAAATGTTTACAAAGACAAAAAAGGTCACACACAAAAGCTTGGGAATCAGAAAGACATTAGAATTTTCAGTAGCTACACTACTGAAAATATGGACCAATGCCTTCAAAATGTGAAAAAATATTACTAATGTGGAATTCTATGCTTACCCAACCCAGAATCAAGTGTGATGATAAAATACAGCCATTTTTCAGATACATGATCTCAAAAAAAATTACCTTCCACACATTTACCCTCAGGAAATTACTGGAGCATGTACTTAACTAAAACAAGAGTATAAAGCAAGAAAAAGGAATACTTAAATTCAGGAAACTGGGGAGACATTGGAGGCTAGAAATGAATGGAATTCCTGTATTGACAGCTGAGTAGTAGACTGGGAAAGAAGCCTGCTCAGAGAGAGAGAGAGAAAGAGATGCAGACTTCCAGCCTGGATGTCTCTAAGAAAGGGGAGAAACAGATTAGCTGATTCATGTGAACAGATTGAGAAAGCCAGAGAATTAGTATGACTGCCTTTTTTAAAACCCTCAGGAAAAGTCAAGTTATAAAAGAAGGAAATGCAAAAATACTCCTTCTGGTTTTGTAGCTGCAAGGCTTGTTTACCCTGCATGGCCCTGTTGTTATTGTTGTGTTGTTGCCGTCCAGTTGGTTTTAACTTATAGTGACCCTGTGTAGGGTTTCCGAGGAGCAGCTGGTGAGTTTGAACCACCGACCTGTGGTTCAAACCAACCTTGTAGTCCAGTGCTTTATCCTACAGTGCCACAATGACTTCTGAGGCTGCAAATCATTGTGGAAGCAGAAAGCTTTATCCTTCCCACTCAGAGCTGCTTGTAGGCTTGAATCGCCACCCTTGTGGTTCATAGTCCTGTGCTCATCCTGCAGAGCCACTGTGCTCCCCAGAAGTTTATGTACTGATTGATAAATAGCCACTATCCCAAGCTCCCTGTGTGTTACTCTGTTATCTCCTTCAGCTGACCCCTTGACCCTAGGTTCTGCAATTAAAGAGTTCTAGTTAATATGTTGAATATTGCCTCTGCCTAACTAGTTATAGATGCTTTTTACATCATCATTAAAAAGTAAATACTGGATATTAATTTACCTAAATACTGTGATAACATTATAGGAGGATGCAGGAAGAAGGCATGCACAGGAAAAGGGAGGGTATTGTAGAACCTAAATTTTTATTTTCTCTATTAGGAAATCTACAGATCATATCTGAAACTAGAAAAAAAAAAAATCAAAGCTCTAGAACCAACTAATTTAGAAATGTGAAATTAATAGCAGAAAAATAGCTCAAAGAATTTAAAAGTGAACTCAACATTACTTTTTTAAAAAAGAAAAAAGAGACTCGGCGGCACTTAACATCGTACACTTTTGAGTTAAAATCATTTTCTACAATGAGAACACACTGCTTCCCCCCCACCCCAGGAGTGGCTGGTGGGTTTGGGCTAACAACCTTGCGGTTAGTGGTCTGGTACTTTTCCCATAGCACCTCGTCAGGACTTCATAGTAGATAGAAAAACAAAACACCACACAAATAAAAACATCTATGTATTGAGAAGACTTTTTAGTGAAAAACATTTTTATGCAAATGAATCAAAATGTAGACACTGCTTCTACAAATTTATGTCCTAGATTTGAAAGTATTTTGAGTGATATTTATCAGTTTAATGTTTTCATCACAAAAATACAAAGCTGAAATTAGTGCACATAAGGATAAAGCAGTGCTAGATCCACATTTGTAGCTTAAAAATTTTTTTCCCTTTTATGAATTTTCTTGCTCACAAAAATAAAAAATGTGATCGAAAGCTTTTTCACAATATTTATAGTCACAGAGTCTCCAACATGTGAAGCCTTGTTGTTGTTAAATGTTATAGAGTTGGTTCCGACTCATAGCTACCCTGTCTAGGGTTTCCGAGGGGTGGCTGGTGCAGACAGTATCTTGCAGTACCACTTCCTAAAGAAGGAGGCACACGGAAGACTTTTACATTCATAGAAGTAATCTATACTGAGTTCTCATGTGGCGCCATGAGATAAGCACTCAACCTCAAGGTTGGTTGGAACCACAAGGTCAGCAGTTCAAGCTCACTGGCTACTCCTCGGAAACCCTACATGAGGTCGCTGGGAGTCATAACCAACTCTATGGCAGTTGACTAAAAGATTTTAATCACATTGTTTTTATTCACTTTTCTAATCACTTCAACAGGGGTAATTAGGGAAAGCTTTTCCATGTACATGAATTCTGCCCGTTCTTTAAACTTATATGATGTCTCTGCCATGTATCTCTTTTCTCAGGCTTGTGAAAGCAACAAAATGAAATCTATTTAAAAAATCACTTAGGTTAAAAAAAAAAAAAAGGAAAAAAGACTGGTTTTATTGGTCAGAAAGAGACTGGAGGAACTTGAAATTGTGGTCTCTTGACTACCCTTCAGGTCTGGAAAGGAACTCACCCTTGTGGCCCAATTTTTAGCCAAGCAGTAGATAAGGTATCCAAGGAGCTCTGGTAGCATAGTGGTTACGAGTTGGGCTGCTTACCTCAAGGTCAGCAGTTTGAAACTACCAGCCGTTGGGTGGGAAAAAGGTGAGACTTTCTGCTCCTGTAAAGATTTCAGTCTCGGAAACCCTATGCAGGGTTGCTATGAGTCAGAACCGACTCAACAGCACAGTACCACCACCAGATAGTTATACGGAGAGGGACATCAGCACTAGTAAGGTATGTTCACCATGGAATAGTCAATCATTCAAAATCAAAAGGATAACATTTACCTAAGAACAGAGTTGAGAAGTGTGGGAAGGTGGGTGCAATGGAAATAGGAACCACAGGAAGGAAGGAAGGAAGGAGGATAATTGAAGGGGATTGCAATCTTTGTGATGAAACAAAGTGCATGATTTGTTGAATGTAGAACTGATGATCTTTTCTATAAATCTTCACTCAATTCACAATATAAAAAGTTTACAAGAGTTTTTTTTTTAAAGTGATTGTTCTTGGAAATGGAAATTGTGTGTGTGGTTTCATGTTTTCATTATATGCTTTGTGTCTTAGTTATCGAGAGTTCTGCTATAATAGAAATACCACAAGTGAGTGACTTTAACAAACAAAAGTTTATTAATAGTAATTAATATTAATGATAGGGAAGCTAGAAGTCTGAATTCAGCGCATCAGCTCTGGAGACAGGTCCTTGCCTACTTTCAGCATCTATAGGCCCAGCATTCCTTAGAGAGCTCCATGGGTCTTTGTATCAATCCTCCCCTGAATCTAAGAACTTCACAGTGCAGGGAACCCAGGTCCAAAGAAAGCACTGCATTCCTGGCTCTTCTTTCTTGGTGGTAGTATAGGTCCCTCTGAGTTCTACTCACCTCTCTCTCTTTGTATCTCAAAGGAGATTGACTCGAGATACAACCTAATCCTGGTTGATGTCATTAACGTAATAGAAGTGAGAATATACAACATATAGGATAATTATGTCACAGGACTTTCCACATCATGGAGGCAATTGCTTTATATTAGATCTCATCGTGGGAGATCACTGCATCTTAACTGCTAAACCACTGAGAATGCAAGCACAAAACCTGAACTAGCACACCTTGTAAAGGCATTTGACTTTTAAATTTTGTTATTTTTTATTTTTAATCAGGCAGGCCAGCTAGTTTATTCGTATTAAATCTAAACCTTCGAACTCCGGCTTAACAATAACATAAGAAATCTTTAAAGACAATAAATCTTAAATTAAATCAGAGATGGTTTAAATCAGTCACATAACTGCTAATATTCTGGGCTGGCAACTACAGCATGACAATGTTCAGTTCAGTTACAAAACGACATGTTGATTTTCCTTGACCACCAACTCTTAAAACAGATCTGAAAAAAAAATGTGGTTTGACAAAGGCATTTACCATATACCCACCACTGCCAGTCTCAAGTGATTCAGATGTCTTCATCCCCCAGGAACATTTCTAGGAAGTACTGTTTTTTAAGGTCTGCTTGCCTTGGTGGGTATGTAAGAACACAGAGAGTAAGTTTAAAGAATGAAGGTTAACTGAGATGCCAAGAAATGTTTTTATTGCAAGCACAGTGAGCAGGAGATGTCTTCTCACACCAAGTGGCTGCAAGGTCTGCCATTAGCTAAATCTGACAACCCTTCATTGGTTTAAAGCATAGGATTAGCTTCTGGATATCAGATGTACATCATTTCTGCCATGTGGGACATTTTCTTGGGAATATACAAGTAATATTCCATGTAGCCTGACAGGTCCTCAATGGTCACATCATCCACATAGACTCGAGCTTGCTCAGAACAGGAGTTGGGGGAGCCAGACAGAGTTCTGGTGTGGAGCGACTGAGAGTAGTCCTTAAGTGTGGATCTTCGTTCTGGGGCCGTGGGCGGGACCTTCTGCAGGCCTGAGAAGGAGTACACCTCCATGCCATGCCATCTCTTACACGGGCACTCCTGGCCCAGGCACGCACATGCCTTGCCCTGGTTCAACTTGGAAACGGACTGAAAGTCAGAGAGATCATTGGCCTTGACACTTGCTTGGGAGATGTGGGTGGCATCCGAGGAGTCTTCCTTGGTATTCTCTGATGGGAGCCCTGGAACTGAAGTTCTCAGAGGCTCAACGACTGCCCCTGTATGATTAGCATCAGGAGGAGAAGCAGCACATTCTCCTGCATTGCACTCTTTTAGGGGTCGAAATTCCCAGCCCACTGCTGCCATCAGGGGAATCATTGACTTTTAAATTTTTAAATGTTTACTATTCAGAACATCTATAAAAAATTATTTTCTAAAGGAACATTATTTCAGTAACCAATTTAAGTCTTCTAACCAACTTACTTTTCTTTTCCAGTGGCAGTATGATCATCTGACAGCTACCTATCTTCTGCTTTTAGCCAAGAAGGCTCGGGGAAGACCAGTTCGCTTAAGGCTTCCTTCTTTTTCCTGTGGACAAGCCAGTGCTACTCCATCCAAAGACTTCAAGGTAATGGTTAGAACTTTTTGTGTCAGTACTTGCTGGCCCTGCCCTCTCTGTTTATGAATGGGTACACTACTGGAAAATAACTTTTCTGGTGTCAAAGAGCCAGAGGCAAGGCATTTTATGATCTAACATTTTTTGATGAAGAAAATGATGGGAATAGCATAAATCTTGACTGTGGTATTGAAAAACCTAGGGCTATGAACCAATTCTTCCCAGTTCAGTCCTGGTTGGTGAAGTGAAACTGGGATAACCCCAAGTTTGCAAAATGTGGGTATCTAGAATGATAACAGGAACAGTTAAAATTTTGGATTGATGCCCTGCTAGAGACTTAATCTCCCTGTTAGAAAACAAGAGCATCATGAGTGTTGCATAGCAACCAAGTCTCGTGATTGGCAGAGTTGGATACAGTGGTGTCCTGCTCAAAGATGATGACTGACTGCACTCCTTGGAATGTGTGTCACTCTCCACAGTCCTGACACTGTTCCAGGGCCATATGTTTTCCCATTTTTGCTTGTGATTCTATTTTACCCAAATTTGAAAATTTTGAGTCTGTTTGATTTTGCTTTGTCAGCCATGACTGAACAGATTTGAACCCGTTAGAGGCACCCCCCAAATAATTGCCGATTGTTGTGAAAAAGTTTTAAGCCACAGGTAGGCCAAAAGGAAAATAGGCTCTGCCTATAGATAACCTAAGGAGCTCTGGTAGCATAACATAGTAGTTATGAGTTGGGCTGCTAACCTCAAGATCAGCAGTTCGAAACGACCAGCTGCTCCACGGGAGAACAATGAGGCTTTCTGCTCCCTTAAAGAATTATAACCTTGGAAACCTATGCAGGGTTGCTGTGAGTTGGAACTGACTCCACAGTGCATAACCACCATCATCATAGATACAGATAGCATCTGTAGATAATATTGTTAATATCTTACTGTGTAGCTTTCCAGTCTTTTAATGTCTTTATTTATACAGTCTATGAACATGTAAGTGCTTTTAAAAGGACATAGTATTATTAAATTGTAGATAAAATTTTTGGAATTGTTGGGAATGGTACCTATGACTCCTGGTGTGGTGTTGTAGGATCAGCACTGGGCTGCACACCACAGTCTTGGCAGCTCAAACCCATCAGCTACTCCTTGGAAACCCTATACAGGGTCACTATGAGTCAGACCCAAGTTGACAACACTCAACAACAACAACAACAAAGGGTATATTTATACATTATATCGCATGAAATATTTTCATGGGTAGTCTGACAGCCATTTTGTGTTAAAAATTCAGAGTTTTTGTTTGAGTAGTAGCTGTAACTCATGCAGTTCACATTCCTGGCTTGAAAGTTAATTGTAACCATTTTTCTATGTTTTGTCTTCTTTGTCTCATTTTTCTTTTCTGGACATTGGAACGGTGGAGAAGCTTTGCATATTTGGAAGCACCTTGCCATTCCTAAATGCTTGCATTAGACTCTGCTTTCTGTGTAATTCTTTGTTTCTCTTGTGACTTAAAATTCAGCTTTCCAAATACTTGCCAGATGGGTGTGAAACTTTGAGATATAATCTTCCTCCAGATTAATTCAGATTGCAATTTAAATAGTCTTGACATCTTTGTTATCCTTAGAGAAAGATAGTTGGTCCTCTTTTTGCAATCTAAAATAGGATAAATGATTGACTGAGATGCTTTTAAAATTTTTAGGTCTAAATTATATAAAAATGGTGCTAAAATGATACCTCCCTCATGATCTTTTGTTAACTTTCCTCCCCCTGCATTCACCCCAAATTCCTTTAGCACGTGATTTAGCTCTCTCTTTTTAGTAGTCATTGATTACATACTGGAGGTATAGTGGGTCTTATGTCCCTGCCTGGATTGATCCTGGTCCCAGTCACTGTGCTTTCATGACTTAATAAAGTATCCAAGTGGAAAGACAGTCGAAGGTTGTTACTCTTAATCTTCTATCTACAATGGGGCAGTTACCTAAATAATTTAAATTATTCATATTTTTAAGTCACTTTTAAATGCATTAAACATTCTAATAATAAGATAAGGAGCTCTGGTAGCGTAGTGGTTACGAATTGGGCTGGGAACCACAAGGTCAGCAGTTCGAAACTACCAGCCGTTCTGCGGGAGAAAGATGAGGCTTTCTGCTCCCGTAAAGATTTACTGCCTCGGAAACCCTATACAGGGTCGCTGTGAGTCGGAACTGACTCCACGGCACATAACAACAACAACAACAAATAATAATAATAAGATATAAAGCAGAAATCAAATTTGGAGCACTTTTCTGATATTTATGTAATCATTTAGCAACGATTGAAGCAGACCACATAGTCTCTTTGGAGTGTTATCACCTGCAATAAAATTGTTCTTTTCTTTGGGATGCTGTTTATAAGGAAGTAAGTAATCCTTAAATGCCAATCAATAGGTGTCACATTCAGTGAAACAATAATATGATTTGATTGATTTAAGAGTCACAGAAAAGTAATATGTCATCCTTCATATCATTATAATTTTCAGGCTCCACACGAGGCTCTTGGGAAATAAATTTAAGTAAGGTTTGGTGTCTGCTATCTAGCAGCAAAAATGGGACAAAATGTCCATATAGATAGCACTACATCCTAGTATATGGGTGTCAGATGAGTGGGTGATGGTGGTGGGGGTGTGCCACCGAGTTGATTCTGACTTACAGCAACCCTGTATAGGACTTCCAAGGAGCTGCTGTTGAACTTGAATTGCTGACCTAGCAGTTCAAACTGACCTTGCAGTTCAGTGCATTAACCCACAGCACCACACAATATATATATATATATATGCTTATCTTGCTTACTGTGTAATGCAATCCTGGTGATAATGATAAGCTAAATATCATGCAATATAACAAAACTGTTCCAAGACATATTGTTTAAGAGTCAGAGATTCTCCGACTTAATTTTTGAATTCCTGTTTTATGTATTGTATGGTGAATCCTTGAATATACTCTCTCTCATTCATTTCTCCTTTCAGGGCCTTGCCCTGTGCTGGGAACATAATGTTTTAAAACTTGAATCATGATGCTGTTGTTTCTAAATTGTTTTGCATTTTAATTGAATAGTCAAAGAATCTGAGTCTGGAAGATGTGACCACAAGTGATGAAAATTATGTGGTTGGATTTATTGATTATGAACGGTGTGAAGATAATTCATCAACAGGTGTGGCTACTCCCCAAATACCAAAGGTTGGTTATTTTGATTGCTATGTAAAGCAGGATATGTAATTTGAATTATTAAAACATTTAGAATCTAACATGAAATTATGTTTGTGCTTGCAAATTAAATGAATTCCTAAATTGAAAACATTAATGAAAGATTGTTGAAATATAAATGAAAGGGAAATCAATTATTTCCAAGTTGAAGTACTTTGCTAACCCCTTCCTCCCTCTTTTAAATGAGATATAATTTATATGCTATTACATTTACCCTTTTTTAGTGTATAGTTCTGTGGGTTTTATTTATTTATTTATTTTTTAAGTTTTATTGTGAATTGAATTATAGTTTACATGGGAGAACATTGGTTTTACACTCAACCAATCGTATTTTGTTTCATTACAATGATTATAATTCCTCTCATGCACCATCACTTAACAGTATTTGCCTCTATCTGCTCTTTTTTTTTTTTTTTTTTTTTTTAAATACACAAGAACACGTAATCATTTAAACAACCATAGGGCACATTTTGCAAGCCAGCCTCCTGCCCTCCAACACCTAGCCTTTCTCTTTCCATGAGTCTAGCATCCTCAGCTGCTTTATCTTCCATGCCATTGTTTCTGCCTCCATCTCTGGTGTTGCTGTTTCTCTGGCTAGGATCCCACATCCACTCATGTTTTTCCTTACTGATGGTCCTAGTGCCCTCTGTTCCTTGAATGTAAGATTAACTACACCCCCCCCCCCTTTTGTTATACAACTTGTACCTTTACAGTTGTGACGATTGCATTAGGTTTAATAATAATTACTTGCTATTGAATCAAAAGAATCCTGTCCCCATCTCTTTTCACCAGACCCATCTACACAAGATAAAAACTATTCAGTGGGGATTCTGCTCCCCACCCACCCACAAACACACATACCCCTCCCCCCCCAACACTCTGAAACTAAGCTCTGTCTTGAACACTTGTAAGCCAGCCACTTGTTGCCTTTATAGCTCCCTCCATTTTAGGTCGCCAATGTCTAAGTTGTTCGCCCCTATCATCCATGTGTACTGAGAAGATGTTGTTGTTGTTAGGTGCCATCGAGTCAGTACCAACTCATAGTGACCCTATGTACAACAGAACAAAACACTGCCTGGTCCTGGGCCAACCTCACAGTTGTTGCCATGCTTGAGTCCATTGATGCTGCCACTTTGCCAATCCATCTCTCTGAGGGTCTTCCTCTTTTTCTCTGAACCTCCACCTTACCAAACATGATATCTTTCTCTAGTGACTGGTCCCTCCGGACACTGTGTCCAAAGTATGAGAGACAAAGTCTGGCTATCCTGGCCTCCAAGGAGCACTTCTTCCAACACAAATCTGTTGGTTCTTTTGGCACCCATGGCACTTTCAATAGTCTCCTCCAACACCATAACTCAAAAGCATCAATTCTTCTATGGTCTTCTTATTTAGTGTCCAGCTCTCAAATGCATATGAGGTTATTGAAAATACCATGGCTTGGGTCATGTGCACCTTAGTCCTCAAACTGACATCTTTGCTCTTCAACACTTTAAAAAGGTCTTGTGCAGCAGATTTGCCTAACGCAATGCATTG